AATGTGTTGAACTCTGCTCTACAGCATCAATTCCCAACAAAAGCAGTTTACTTTCACACTCATGTTTACCTCAGAGTTAGATTGTGTTTATTTTTTCTGATAATATTTTCTAAGTATACTATAGAAAAAGCTGTGTGTCATTTCTGAAAAGGACAAAACTCAAACAGCAAATTTCAAACACTTTCTAACTCATTTTTAAGTTTGACAACCTCTTGAGGTAAAAGAGGTATGTACGGTTACACTACCTCTCATTACAAAGTATTGTAAAGATGCTACTATTTAAGATAATATAGCTTGTATATCTACTTAACCTGGTTTAGGTAAAAGTGTAATTCATGGCAACATAATGCAAGCAAACCAGTGCAGTATGACTGTCAACCTCTTCTAGACCTATAACCACCACTCTTTCCTCAGAATATATCTTTTTTATTATTAACGCATCTGACGTACAAACTGAGAGCATCAATATCAATTGATATATTAGCAAAATTTAATTACTTTAATTAAAATAGAATTTTTTTTTTGGTAGTGTTGTGCAGCTTGTGGGCTGTTAGTTCCCCGACCAGGGATCGAACCCAGGCCCTTGGCAGTGAGAACACAGAGTCCTAACCCCTGGACCACCAGGAAATTCCCCTTAGTTGACTTTAAAAATCAAAAATAGATAGGTAGATACGTAGACAGAAAGAAAGAAAGAGAGAAAAGAAAGAGAAATAAATCCTATTCTTTCTATATCCCAATAGACAGGTCAGTGCTACCCCCAAGGGTATATATATATATAGCCACTCTGTAGACCTCTAATCCATATCCCTGAAACTAAAATTTTTATATACAGTAAATGAAACATCAGAATACCTAGAGTGTATCAGCTTCCATAATTAATTGCTCGGTTTGCTAAAATTAGCTTAGCACAGCAGCAGATGGTGTGTTTATCTTATTCCTCATACACAAGGAATACTTTACTCAGATTAGCCATTTCCCTCTTGCAGGCAATTAAACTGGCAAGACGAGTGATTAAACTATTACTGTAAACTAAGTTTTTCTACCCCATTCCCTCCACTCAATCTATATAAACTTGACTCCTAATCAAGGAATCTTTATAAATATTTTCTTTTAAAAAAATAGAAATTGTAATTTGACCAACCTATATAAAAAATGGAAGAATTCCAGGTTTAGGGAATAATGATTTTATTCATTATTTGCCACTAAAAGAGATAGGAAATACAGGGCCAGGCTATCATTTGGCTAGAAAAGATAATTATGCAGTCTTGTACTTGTTAAATTAGAAGAGTCTATAGAGATATTAGCCTTGAAAATGCACAGGAATCATTTCTTAGGGAAAAGTGAAAAGGAAGGCAAAATGAAGAAGGGCTTGGTGAAAGAACCAAAAATTGCCAGAGCTTTTCTTTACACCTAATTGGTCACCAAGTCTTATGAATTTTAAAATGTCTCATACTCTGTCCCTTTTTTTTTCAACCCTGATGTAGTTAAACCAGACATGTTTTTAAAATAGCCTTCTCCATGATTTCTTGTCTCCAATGTCCCTTCTCTTCATCTTTCACAGTATAATTGTCTTCTAAAATAATACAATGACATCATTACTGCACGAAAAAAATTCGACATGTTCTCATTTATATCATTTGGATGAATTTACTGGCTTTAACCAGAGTTACAGAGTCACCATATTCTTATTTTATAAACCCTTCAGAGTTCCCTCTTCAAATAGCCTGGCTAGCTTTAAATGGCACTTTAGTAATCAACCAGCAAGGATTTATTAGCTGTTGTACACTGCATTAGGTTTGTAATAATTTCTATCTTCACAGATCTTAAACTCCAGTTGGACACTATAAGCTTTTAGACACTGCTACATTCTTAAGCACTTAACTGTTCTATGCCCATTGAGTAATCAGAAATCAAGGAAAGGAGATAATAACAAATTAAGGAAAAGCTTCATGGAGTAGGTGGAATTTTAGCTGAAGGCTGAGAGGGAGGCAACACATAAAATGATAGTAAAGGGATTTAATAGATATACAGGAATCTGACAGGAGTGGAGGTGTAACAACAGGCATGAGAAAAGCCACTGGGGAGGGAATTAACAAGGGAACTAGAAAGATATAGGACACCAATAATGAGGAACAATGAGATAAAATCTTGGCTAAGGAAGGCAGATTATAGACATTATAGAATGTCCTGGAAGCCAGGCAGAGGTGTTTAAATTTGACCTTATAAACACCAATTAATAAAAAGAGAAGAGATGGCATAAGAAGATTATTTCAGCATCCATATTCAGGCATATGGAAGAGACAGGCAGGCAAGAGGAGACATCTGGAAAGAAATTATAGGGCTTAAAAAGAGACTTCAGTTAAAGAGAAAAAATCATCAAAGAATAGTACAAAGTTTCTAGCCTTGGAAACTATGAAAATGGAAAAGTAAACAGGGAAGCTGAGAAATAAAGAACATTTGAGAATTTTGAGATGGTTTTGGACATGTTAAATTTAAGCAAATCTGACTGGAGCTATCCTAAGGCTCTTCCATAGCATGATACTAGGATGAAGCCAAGAATCGATGGTGAGAATAGACAGCTATAGCGATCTAGCAATGCCTTATATCTATTTAGGGCTGTAAAGCCATTTATTATTCATTTTGAGCCTCAAAACTCAGGAAAGTAGAAAACCAGAAATTAATACCTTCATATCACAAATAAATTAATGTTTAGAATTAATGTGACTTGCCCAAAGTCAAACAATTTGTTAGCAGCAGAGCCAGGAAAATTCTAGTTCCCTACTCTTGCCATTACACTCGCTTGCTTCCAAGAAGCAAGCAAAGCTCAAGGCCTTTCTTCCAAAAGGAGTCATCAGTATGGAGGCAACAGCTGAGGCCATGAGAATGTATACTTCTTTGAGGGCAGGAGAACAGAAAAAGAAAGGATTCCTTGCAGATATACACAATTAAAATGTGGAAGAAGAGAGCTCAGCAAAAGACACCACCAAGTTGACAGGAATACTTAAGAGTGTAGGAAAAAAAATTAAAACCAGAAAACTGCAGAGTCAGGAAAGCCTAAGCACTCAGTGATCTTAAATGCTGAAGTTGGAAGAAGATAAAGATTTGGCATGGAGGAAACACATTTGATGGACGAAATTTTTTTTTAAAATTTAGCTCTTGAGAAATTCAGGGAAAAAAGAATTCTTCAAATGTTTACTACTATCAACATTCATTTGGTACAATAATAAAGGGGATTGTATTTTATTTTTCATACATTAAACTTCTATTGACTACTTCACAAGTTATATTAACATAAATGAGTGTGAAATGCTTTTTTTAATGCTGAAAAATATAAAGTCTAAGAAAATAAAGCATCTATTCGATAAGTCTTATAGAAATATAATTTGATCTTTTTTTTTTTTTTTTTTTTTTTTTTCAACACAACCTGATCAGTTATTTCACTTTTTCAGCAAAAAAATATTTTCAGCTTTTTTACCTTCTCCATAGTTGAGAGGCTTTTGACAAACATAAATAATAGTTTACTTTTTGCTGTGATCTAGTTTACTAATTCAAATGTCTGGTAAAGGAAAAGAGCGAGAGCTATAAAAAAGCAAAACTACAGATATACCCAAAGTAAAATTACTTATGAAGCAATTTCCCAAGTTTTAATAGTAAATGCTAATGGAAACAATACGGTCAATCTTCCGATTATAAATGCAACTTCTGTCTTAAGTAGAAGTTAGAATGCAAAGTAAAGTGAACAATTTTATTCTCATTCTAACATGACAGATATAAATAAAACATTTTCAACTAAAATCCACTTTCATTAGTGATATTGTTTAGAACACAGCAACGTATTCGCACAAATCAGGTTTAGAAAGGTCCTTGGAAATGATGTCTAAAAGTTAAAAGAAATTTTAACATGACTATGAATTAAAAATGTAAAAGACACAGAGCTAATCAAATGACTTACTACTGACCTTGTTCAAGTCTGAAGAGGGTCTTTTCCAGCTTTTCCATTTCGTTCAGAAGTAAAATCCTAATCTGTTTACTGTGTCCCATTTTGGCTTCTAGAGGATTTGAAATCTTTCAGAAGAATGAAAAGAACTCCGAAATCGAATGAGGTACCCCTACGAAACAAAAAAGGAATCAAGATAAAGAAAATAACTGTACCTTAGATTCTCTAAGGCTGACAGCCACACTTACATGTTCAAAATGTGTTTTAACCCTAGCAGAGCAACGAGAAAGAATGAATCTTATACATAAGATCAGAAAAAGCAAATTGATAGTTGTTTCCTCCCTTCGAGCACAAGACCGAAGCAAAAATTACAGTTTAAAAAAATGAAGTATTTTTACATAATCAATACATTTTGGAAAGCCTGGAGCTGGGTGGGGGGGGATGGGGTAAAATTCCCAGTCCCAAGCCAACCGGCTTCAAAGACTTTCATATGGCACTTCTGCTTACAAGAGATTAGCCTGCTCAAAGATAACAGGTGGGAGATCTCCCCATTCCCAAATTCGGGTCGGAAGCCACCAATGGGGAGATGAGAACAGAAGGAAGCAGTTGTTGTCCCTAGAATAGCTGCCGTGGACATAGAACGTACATACAGAGCTACAGATAGAAGGAACGCATTTCCCCGGGACGCCGGCGGCATTCCTAGCACTTACACCGAGCAAGTTATACGTGCCGCTTCTGGGACACTGCAGGGCCCGCGACTCTGTTGTTAAAACAGTCGGGGGAGGAGACGCAAAGGAAAGTTAAAGGGAAAAGGCAGGCTGCCCAGGCGCAGAAAGAAGCCGCCGACGAGGAGGGCCGGGCGCTGTGAAGGGCAAAGGGAGGGGCGGCGGCAGCCGAGGCAGGGCCGAGGCCGCTGTGTGAGTGACAGAAAGCTTCTCCGTGACTCCGCCTCGCGCCGGTCCCCGAGGAGCCCCTCGATCCCCACTGGGCCTCGAGAGCACACAGCCTGGGTGGGAGCTGACAAGTCCCTTCGCCCACTTCCGGGAATCTCCGCACCTGCTCGCCCCAACCGCTAGTCTCGCGAGAGTCCGATCGCGGGCTGCCCGGGTGTAGGAGGTGGCTGAGGACCAGGCGGCGGGCTGCCTTTTTTCTCGCCTGGAGGAAGGTGAGACGGCTGGGGCGTGCGTACCTCACCTTTCACAGTCTGCGAGCGCATGGTTGAACATTAAAATGCCGCGGTAGGGGGCCGCGAGCTAGGTTGAGCTGCACCACAGCGTCGTTTTGTCGACCCTCTGAATGGCGGGAGGCAAGCCACCTGGCTTCCTGTGCCATTTCTACCACATTATGTTTTGTGTCTTCGTTTTGGCTTTGTTACGTGGCCTAAGTTTTCGTGGCCTAAATTCCCTGAGCCTTGATTTCCCCGTGTCTAAAATGAGGGGCCTGGCTACGGTCTCAGACATTACATCCTTCGCGTGTCCACATTTCTAGTCCTATCACAGAGCGGGCCCGTCTTCCTGAATACAGACATGTAAGGACTAGGTGGGTGAAGTGTGGCCAGTCTGTGAACGACTAAGGGGCAAATACACGTGTGTTTACAACGTCTGGTTGCACCTAATGTACACCACGTAGACGTGAAGATCGTCTGAGACTAAGAATCTATATTGGCTATAGCTGCACATATTTTAGGCCAGACATTCAAGACGTGGTGCAGATGCCTAAGGAGATTTTATGCCTGAGGGAAAAGGAAAGCCCATTTTTCAGGGCCTTTGGAGGGCACCTAGGGATCATGAGAAAATGGACAAAAGATCTGGAGTGTGGAGAAGAATCTTGCTTTCTTTACTGTGGAATTACTGTAGGTCCAAGAAGAATAATGGGTTAAAAACTAAAGATACTGAAATGTTTGCTTGTTTCAGTAGTTTTCTGAGAATGGCTAGTTGCAAGTGGTGCAAAACTGAGTTTGGAAACCCACAGCTCGTTTGTTCATTCAACTGACATTTATTGAACACCTACAATTTGCCAGGCACATAGGTGCTGGGAATGCGGCAATGAAACAAAGTCACTGCCCTCATGGAACTCCTACATGTGATTGTTAGCAGACAGATAAATTAAGTAAATTACATACAATAATTAAAGGTCATAAGACATAAAGCTAAGAAGGGGAAATTATGGAAGAATCAGGAGAGGGTGGTTTACAGTTTTAAGTACAATAATGAGTAAAGGACTTGCTGGTAAATTGACATTTGATCCAAAACAGAGAAAGAAGGTAGAGGATATCCAGGGCAGAGGGTTATACACATAGGTACAGGAAGTGCAAGGGCTGGGATGTAGGAGCATACTTGGTGAATTCAAAGAGGTCACTGTAGCTGAGTGGACTAGAGGTAAAAAGTTAGGACAGATAGATGGGGAGGGGTGAGTGGCCTAAAAGGCTTTGTAGGCCATTGCAAGGACCTGCGCTTTTGCTCTGGGGAAAAGAGCCATTGGAGGATTTTGAACAGAGCAGTGACGTAATCTGACTGACTTTTAAAAGGGTCACTCGGCAACTTTATAGGGAATAGCTAAATAACCCTTAGGGTGTGGTTAGGAAGGAAGCAAGGAGACCTGTTAGGAAGCTATTTCAATTATCTAGGCAAGACATAGTGGTATATGTGTGTGTGTGTGTGTGTGTGTGTGTGTGTGTGTGTGTGTGTGTGTGTGTGTGTAGCAGTGAAGGTGGAGAGAAGTTGTTGAACTACGAATCTATTTTAATGGTGAAGCCTACACCACCTGCTGGTGGAGAGAAAGGAGTCAAGGATGATTTAAAGTTTTTTAGCCTGAGCAACCAGGACATTATTTCTGTCCAACAGAAATATAATATGCCACATAGGTAATTAAAATTCTTCTAGTAGCCACATCAAAAAAAAAAAGTAAAAAGAAACAGGTGAAATTAATTTTAATAATATATTGTATTTAACTGTATCTTAAACATGATTTCAGCATGCAGTCAGTATAAAAGGTTATTAATGAGGTATTTTAGATTCCTTTTTTGTACCGTCTTCTAAATCTAGTGTATGTTTTACGCTTCCAGCATGTCTCAATTCTGATAGCGACATTTCAAGTGCTTGATAGCTTCATGTGGCATGTGGACAGTGCAGAAGAAGCTGTCATTTAGTGAGAGAGGAAGCAAAGGGGAGGGGCAGGATTGGAGGGTGAAATTCAGGAGTGTTGTTGTAGACTGTCAATAAGCAAGTGAAGATGACTGTCCACTTGCTTGAGATGACCATCAAACATCCAAGTGGAGATACTGAGTTACCATTTGTAGCCCTGGTCTCCAAAGGAGTGTTTTTCAAATTGTGAGTCGTAACCCATTAAGGGTTGTAAAATTGATTTATTTGTTGCAACCAGCAATTTTAAAAAAGAAATAAGAAAGCTCTGAATGCACTGCATCTAATAAAAGTATTGTTTCACAAAACTTCTGTTTCTATTACTTATGTTTTGATATGCTGGGTCATGTATTCCTCCTGGGGGGTCAGGGTTAAAAACAAGTTTAAGAGCCACTGCTGTAGAATGTATGCTGTGTAAAGTCGTAATAATTCATGATTATGAAATGGTGCCTGGGTTTGAATCCCGGCTCTGCCTCTAACTAGCTGTGAAGCTTTGGAAGATACTCAACTTCTTTGTGCTTTGGTTTTTCCAACTGTGAAGTAGGGATAAAAATAGTACCTACTATTGATTAAACAAGGACCTAAGAACTGTGCCTAATACATACTAAGTACTGTGTAAGTACAAATATCAGCGCTGACCCTGTTGTGAAACATAGTCCACATTTATGTTTGTCTTCAGTCTCTCCTTTCCATACCCCCTTTGGATTTCAGGTTTTCCTATTACTGTCTCATCGCACAGCCCACCTGGTGATCACTCTTCACCAGGGCTCCAAAATTAGCCTTGCCTCCTGTCCTTCCTCCAGCAAAACACTCACTTCAGTGCCCAGCATTTCAGCCAGGTATAAGAAGTAAAACAGATTGATGAAGTGAATTGCTTTAGTAGTGAATTCTTCTTAAACAAACGCTTAAATTTAAAAAGAAGATTTGTTAATCCAAATGGCCTTAATTTGGGAGATTTCATGTTGTGAAAGAAAGTGAAGAATGTTAAGTAATGAAAACATTATGATTTAATGTGATGTGTCTCTAAGATTAAATTTATAAGCAACATATTATCCTTCTTAAAAAGAAAAGACCCTGGCATGCTATTTGCGAAGTTCTTGGAATGCCAGTGAATTTGCAGTCTAGGGCAATAGTGGTGCCATGTGCCGCTTTCATTTTGGTGAACATTTGTCATGTGCCTGTCCTGTGCGTGACAGCGAGCTATATATACACAATAATCTCATGCTGGAGTTGTTAGGAGAAGACTCTCCTTGAGGAACAACTGATGGATGATCTCAGCTATTTGGCAGAGACTCTAGTGTTTTCTAAAACATTGATATTAATGCAGCTGGCGAGTGGGAGAAGGGCTGTGGTCAGAAGGGGCTTTCTTCAGGTTTGTGTATGTATGTGTATGTTTTCTGAAAGGAAAGGAGTTATTTGGGGGTATTATTTATGGTTAGGTCCCAATTCTGTGATCTTCTGGGTCTGAAGTAGAGGGGCTGCCTTATTTGGTTTTTATATTCAACAGTATTTTCTGTGTATTTTGTTTTGTAGCAATAGTATACTGATATTATTAATAGTTTTATCTTATAAAATTTGGAACTGTGTTTCCAAAATCCCTTCTAAGGTGAATAATTTATTCTGCATGTTTTGAAATATCCAGATATAGCCAGTGAGGAGAAGAAGGGAAGATAGGAAAGGAAATAGAATTGAAGTCAGAGAGGTGTGGAAAAACAGTGATTTTTCAAAAAGGAAAGAGTACAACATCTCCTTTGGAGATAAACAAACCTCAGATTAGTTTCAGTCTCTCTGAATTACAGTTGATTCATCCATAAAATGGAGAGAACAACACCTCACTTGTGGGGTCACTGTGAAGAGGAGATGAAATAATGAAAGCATTTAAAGTGTCATTTGGGGACTTTCCTGGTGGCGCGGTGGTTAAGAAGCCGCCTGCTAATGCAGGGGACACGAGTTCGAGCTCGAGCTTTGGTTCAGGAAGAGCCCACATGCCATGGAGCAGCTAAGCCCGTATGCCAAAATTACTGAGCCTGTGCTCTAGAGCCTGCGAGCCACAACTACTGAGCCCGCGTGCCTAGAGCCCATACTCCACAACAAGTGAAGCCACCACAGTGAGAAGCCCGCTCACCGCAAGGAAGAGCAGTCCCAGCTCGGCGCAACTAGAGAAAGCCCACACGCAGCAACGAAGACCCAACGCAGCCAGAAATAAACAAATAAAATAAAATAGTGTCATTTAGCATTTAGCAAAAATTAGGCTTTTAATAAGGATAGCCTTAAAAAAGAAGGGGTGATGGGGACTTCCCTCGTGGTCCAGTGGATGAGACTTTGTGCTCTCAATGCAGGGGGACTGAGTTTGATCCCTGGTGGGGGAACTAGATCCCACATGCATGCCACAACTAAGAGTCCGCATGCCGCAACTAAAGGTCCCTCATGCCGCAACAAAGACCTGGCACAGCTTAAATAAAATAAATAAATAAATAAATAAATATTAAAAAAAAAAAAGAAAGAAGGGGTGATGACTAGTTGCCTTTGCTGGGTCAAAGATGGCCGTCAGACAAAGTAGATGAAGAGGATTCCAGGGCATGGCAGAGACAAAAGACATCACTGAAAGGTCTCTTACTCCATGAAGTATAAAGGTGAATTCAAAGAGCAAAGTCAGAGCCCAAGTTTTCAGCCTAAATTGTACAAAACTGAGGAAGGGTGGAGACTAAGAATGAAGTAAGTGTTAGTTGGTATATAGTAAATATTTGTTTGAAAATTTATTGAGATGTACATATATAGAGGGAAATATAGTTGTATTTCTATTGAAACAAAATATCTTGGGCTCTTAGAGCTAACATAGGAAAAGTCATTAAAGAATTCCTAAGCATTGATATAACAAATTAGTCCAAAGCAGTGCATGGAATGCTTGGAAAGCATGATAGGAGGAACTTCAAGAGGGCATTTTTAGTGGTGATCTTTTCTTTATTCTTAGATCTTTAAAAAGTTCTTTGGTCTCCAATTAATGCTAAATCATTTTCCCTTGCAA